ACAGAGCGGAAATATTTTTTGAAGATTTGGAAATGAATTTTTTTTTCGTCATTATATTCATATTATATGATTTGAAAGTGACCGTTATTTTTTTTTTCATACAATGCAATGCAAATTTAATCATTTTTGGTGTAATGGATTTTTGTCATCTCAAAATTCATTTGAAGTTTTAAAAAAAATCTATTATTTTAGTAATAGTTTAAAATTAGCCATTAGACAGTAAACAACGACGCATTTTATCTGACAAAAAATATTGAAAAAAGGACTCAATGGCATTTTTTTGCGAAACGTTAGAAAATCAATTGATGTAATAGTTTCGATCATTTTCAAATGTGAATTTCATGCATCGCTTTTCTTTCCATTTCGAATGTTTGTTTCATTTCACTTATTCCTTACAATATGCGAAACAATAGCACACGCACACACTCGAATGGAGTAAGTGGATATTTCCAAAAAGGCATGCTTCATTTTTGGAACGGTTACACTCAATCCAATTGTTAAAAATTAATCAACGAAAAAGAAAATTATTATTACATCAGAATTTTATTCAATTGATTGAAGTGTTTTCCAATGAATTCATTTTTAGTTGTGCAATTGTTGTAAGTGCTATGTTAGTTTCATGTCTACAGTTTTACATCGTTGGCAACTCAAATTGATAATGTTTTCATTGGAAAAACGATTCCACGAATAAAATTCATTCCCAGGAAAATTGTCCGAATAAAAAAAACATGAAAATTTCACAAAAGATAATAAGTCGTGGAATCAAAGATTATCAGTGAAAATTTCGAAGCAACAGAAAAAAACACTCCCTTTCAACTACCATGTGAATTGTTTGATTTAAAAGAACATAAATGTGATGAGATCTTGTTTTTTTTTTTGAAACGAAGTATTTTGAGTTAGAAAAACAAAGACACAATTAGATCATTTATCAGTAAGTGTGTGTCTACTGGTTTTGCGTTCATTATTGTTGTTCCTTATCTCACCCTAACCGATCACAGCATAGGTTCAGTTCAATGTTGATCATATTCAAAAATCATGCCATTAAAATGAATGTAATGATTAAAAAACAAGCCGTCACATTTAAAGCAAACGTGCAGCATACCATTTGCAAATAGTCACAATTAAATTAATAAGATTTAAATAAATCTATAAAGAACCGTTGATGAATAAAATGGCGACTTTTCATTTGAACTATCGTTCTATATCTCAATTTTTGCCTCTCTTTGGCATTGTTGTCCAATTGTAAATATTATACATTATTCATAATGCATGCACCATTGTTCAGCATGATCTATTTGTGGCATGTCTGCTATGGCCATAATTCTACATATATAAGTTCCTTTTTTTTTCGTATTTAAAAAAATGGCACATATGTATATTGTTTGTCAATCCTTTTTATGGTTGAATGATGAATGTTTTGTTCCTGAGTCCCCATTGTTTCTTTGTGTAATAATATTATTTAACCATAGTACATACCTCTGAATTGAATTCACTATTATACAAACTATTGTACAAAGTTTTTAAGTGAAGCTCTAGAGTGTATAGAGTTTAAACTGTATGTTTATTAAAAAAAAATGGGATAGAAAGAGAGAAGAAGGTTGAAATGACATAAAAGGTTGCATTAAAACCGACAACCATGAAGAATGTGGGCCGGGCTAACGGCAGTAAAAACCATTAAATCGAATTAATTGAATTTAAATACCTGAGAAATTAAGTATGAATCAGCATAGAGCCAAACGATGTCTTCGTTGATCTATATATGTAGTTGTGAAAAGGATGCCAAATTTCAAGATGCTCTCCAAATGTCTCGTCCATTGTGCGAGACATTTTTTTACACTTGATTGTCTAAGAACATCGTCTGAATGAATTTATCAATTAGGGTTCTTCGTTGAATGCCAACAGATACGAAAAGCTACTTTCACAAAATTATCCATGCACAATTATATTTCAATTAATTAAGTCGGCTCGATAATTGGGTGTACCAAATTTTACATCGTTAGATGTGCATGCGGTAAATATTGAAAACAATTGGATACATTAAAATTGTGGATTTTGGCTTATGAGGATGCGAATTAATTTTCGGTTTTTGCAACAAGACAATGAATACCGGAAAATGAATGGAAAATTATTATTGGCATTTAAATGAAATTTATGACCATTGTTTGGCGAATACAAAATATCATATTCACAATCATGATTTTAATTGAATTCTGAGAATGTGTTGTATGTGTGCGACGACCTCTGAAACTGAAATGCGACGTCCTTTGACTTTATAAAACGATAAATCATTTAACATGCGGAAATTTTGCGGATGAAGAACCAAATAGAAATGCTATAGCACACAGGGAGAGAAAGAGAGACATAAATAGAGATCGAGACACATAATAACATCGACATTCGACTGCAATCGGAGTTATTGTTGCCAATTGCGTTCGTTCTATAATTCAAAACATCAAATTAAGCTCGCCCAAAAGATTAATCTGGCCATTGTTGTGCACGTTGCTCAAGTGCGATTGTCATGGATTTGAAAATACCAAACGAAATGAAAATCCACCGAACGAACGAACGAACAAACGCGTGCATGGCAACAAAAACACAAACGCATATGACAAACCAATAAATACATATAAACATACGAGAGATATCTGGGATATGGGAGCAGAGCAGTCCAGAATATGCACATACAATAAAACCATTGCATTTAATCATTCAGTCAGTCAGTCATTAGTCGAACGAATTGGAATGGTTACTTTAACAGCAGTCGACGATATTTCAAAAGCCGCCACTTTCAAATTAATAATAAACGGATTAAAAGTTCATAAATATTTCAGTTTTGGACTTTTCTACGAATAAAATACTTTATTAAATGCATCTCTATTGTTTGAATTCGAATGCTAATCAAGTACAATAGACGTAACTCTACAGGGTGGAATGGAATAACCGTGTTTCTTTCACGCATCTCCATCACCCATCAGCCAACACAAAGCTTCGTTTTCATTCAATTTTATAAATGCACATTCTATAAGAAATCAGACTCGGAATTTTGCAGAATGATATTGTTTTTCTTCTTCTTCTTCTTCGTCTTCTTGTCTCCTTTGCACGCTGACAACGTACTTGAACTAAAACCCGGTCGAATGTAAACATTCATTGTGTCGTGTCAATTTTCAAATAAATAAAACAAATGCAATATTTTCCAATTTCATCATTGCTTGGCAAAATTCATCAAGTAGCGCCTAGAAAGAAATTACTGAACGACCTGAAAGAATCCACAGTCAATTCAGTATTTGAATACGTCCGAATTGTCACAATAAATACCAATCGAATTCAGAGTCCCGCGATCTCAGAGATTATAAAATTTATTTTATTGTATTCATATTGTAACTGTACTGCTTTCATCATTTGCCTGCTTTAAATTATGTGCACGCACACAAATATTTTCCATAGTGTCGAATGTGTCACCCACAGATATTTTTCATCGAATGTTTGCCTCATCATCATTGTCAGCGCACGCCCAAGAATTTCAGACGGATTTTTGTAGCTGATTGAATATACGAAAAGCGGTAAAATACGGAATGCGTTCAAATACGCAAATAGGAAAGGGGTGTAAGACTATGCATGTGCGTGGATTGCAATGAAAGCGAATGATGTCAGACGGAACTCAAGTCACACACAGAGAGAGACCAAAAAAAAACGTGAGCGAATCAATATAACATTTTTTGATCCGGCAATTCAACACAATGAACCGCGATACAAACATTAACCCTACTCCAATAAAAAAAATCTCTTCTTTTGATTCATTTTCGAAAATTTAATCCCCGACTAATTTCGTTTACATCGATAACTCAATACAAACGAAATAAACTCAATCGGGCTATTTGCTATTTGTTTTTTTTACAGTCATTTATCGAATGAAATTTGAATATCAAGATCATAGCACCGTAAAAACCGAACTGTAATGAGAGGTAGTATTATTGTGTTAATTTTTTTGTTATCATTGGCACCATCAAATTGTCAATAGAAATAAATGAGGACTGAATTGGTTAAAATTCATAAATTTGTCAACAAATAATATAAATCCGTTTGCAAATTGAAAATCGTCATCAGTTTTTTGTTGTGTCCTGCATTTGACCATATTATTTTAAAATTGCTGTAAAGTTAACAAACCATAAGAAGTAAGTGGTGTTTAATGCAATAAGGCGACATTATAGTCATGTTCTAGAATCTAGATATTGCTATCATCATGAGGATTATTTTATATTTACATTTCGGTTGAGCTATAAACACGCACACGCACGCAACGCTCACGCACCACAACAGTCATGAATGCTATTTTATAATCGAGAAGAGGGTGGCGGGTCACACGATTTCACCAGTGTAATAACACATTTAGTGCATGAAAATAAACGAATGCGAGTCAAGAAATGCGCTGGTGTATATTTGTATACTTATAATTTAATTTTAATAATCTCGGATCAATGATAAAGTTTAAGATGAATTGAACTTCATAGGGCTTATTTGTATTGTACACATTCACACACTGTGTTACAATTTCGTTTTTAATTTCGAACATATTGAATGCGACGATTGAAGAGGAAACGAAAGAAGAAAAAAAAGAAGCGCACAGATATTGAATGTGTGACTGTGAATGATTTATTTTGGAAGGGTGGAAATCAAATAGGGTTGAAATTGAAAGAATTTACATTATTTAACTTTTGTCTGAATTTGTTTATTTGTAGCATGCAGACCGAGAGAGAGAGAGAGAGAGAGAGAGAGAGAAGAAGGGACAGAATGGATTTGAAACACGAAAAAAACATGCATTAAAAAGTAAAAATCAATTTGGATTTTTCCGCTTCATTGTTTGTTGTATGAATGTAGCTTATGAAATGCTGAAAAAAATGTAATACTTGTTAAAAAAAAAATTGAAATTGTTTATATTGAAAGACTCGATTTTCACTTAATTAAATTATTTTTCTTTTATTTCAATTTAAAATTAAATCGTATACATATGGATGTCATTAGCGTTGAAGTATGCATTTATTTTATTTGCTACAACTAAAATATTTCATATCATATAATATAGGTTTGTATATTTTAGTATGTTTATGTGTTTGCATTTCTTGTTGTTTATCCTTTTGCAGACAGAACAAAGAAAACAAAACAAAAATTTATTCGTATTTCTATTGTATGAACTTTGTGAATTCATTTTTGCGTGAGCTTGTCGCCTGAACTGAAACTTATCTGAATAGTTGTGTATGGTACATTGCTACACTGAATAAATGAATGTTGAACAGACAATTAAATAATTACATAATTTTTTTCTCTTTTAAATTCACTTTAAATGCGTTCACATTAATCCTCACATCATTAATGATAAAGCTCTCTAATTTATTCATTTTATATGAGAGGCATTAAAAAGTATAATAGTGTTTTTAGATTAATTTTCAAAATTTTATATCGATATAACTTTCTTATAATTTGTTTATTATTATATACGTTTCGACATTGTGAGAAGAGCAAGAAAGAGATTGAGTATACTGCTTAACATATTTGGTATATATATATATATGTTTGTTGTGTGTATAAATTGTACATCATTGACGCTTAACTTTTATGTTATTCAATTTTTTGCTCACTCTTTCAAAAGAAAAACCACTGTTCATTTTGACGTGTTTTGTTGTTATTCATCTTCCAATGATACATATCATCGATGTGGACATTAAGCATTGCATTTGATTTGGCTCATTTAATTTGAGACTGTGTTTTTGGGTGTACAGCTTACGAAATGAATTCAGCTATCTGCTTCACTTACAACAAATTAAATTACAATACTTATTTTCTTTCAAATATTGTAGTATTCATTTTTTCTGTCACATGTGTGTGTGCCTTGTTGAGGTGTTGTACGATTGGTTGAGGTGTTGTACAAACAAATCCAGTGCAGTGCAATCAATTAAAACGTTTAACGTATGTATCACTATAATTTTTCGTATCATTCTTGTGATTCGCCTGCACTGCCGCATCGTTCACCATTACCATTGGCCTCCATTTGATCATTTTCCGATTGGATAATTGTCGATAAGTAGCCAGTACCTGAGTATGGTGCAGCCAAAAAACCTATCGATAACAAATTTAAATGTCCTTTAATGGGGTTTTATTTGAATACATTCCAAATGGTGTCCAGTATGGTTAACACTAAATTAAATTTAATTTGAACTATTTACACTTACGTTTTGTGTGTTGTTGTTGGTGTTGCTGTTGAAACAGTGCATATCGATTGGCCGCCGCTGGATTAAATACGCCGGGCGGAACAAGAGGTGAAAAGGCTGATTTCATGGAAAATGTTGGTGATGGTGCCGGTACTGTAATTGGCATTGTATCATCACCACCGGTTAACATTGCTTCCATTGCTTGAACTACATCGCCTCGATACTTTTGCAATAAAGTTTCAACTTCACTTCGTCGTCGATTCGGAAACACTCTATAAATAAATAACAAATCCAATTCAAATCTTGCACATTCTTTCGGTTTCATTCATTTCTTTTGTTTACTGAAATCACTTTGACTATTGTGATATGAAGAAGAAAAATAAACAAATAAATGAAGCGTTACCTTAATAAAACATCGATCGGTGATCGTTGTGTAGTCATTGCGCCCATAAATTGATGTGACGCTTGATGATATGGCATGAAACCGGCATTTTGACCTCCATTCATATGGATGTGACGCATCATATTTGGATTTTCGATTGGTGTATTTGGCGGTGACGTTGAATCGTCTTTCTTCAAACTCAAGTTTTCCGGTGTTGCCTCGTCGGGTGCCGAATCAACATCCAAATCGGACTCGGGTGAGCTCGGTCGACCATTTTGATTCGGTGAACTGGTTATTGGCATGTTAAACGATGTATTTTTCAAACGTGGACTGCTTGGCGATGATTCTGAACCAGTATCATGATCCGTTTCGGTCGATATCCGTTGACGTTTTGTACCTACATATGCCGAATAATAACAAAACAATTAACATATTGTTATTTTTTAACTTCTTAATTTTCGATTTTATTTTTATAGCAAATTTTTCGGAAGGAAAAAAAAATAATGTTCAATGATCAATGCCAACTTTATTCAATTCAAATGACAACTTAATGGTACGAATAAAATGAAAGAAAAAATGTACAATGAAGTGATGGAATGTGATGGTAAAATTGTTTTTAACTAATTCAATTATATTCAGTATTCTGAATGTGACATCATAAGTACATAAATGTTCATTGCAATAGATAAAGACAATAAATGTGGAAAAACCTTGGCCCATCAAAGCCACATTGTGAATTAGAAATTGTGATATGACACTGTGTTCATAGACAGTATATTTGTGAATTGTTTTTGTTGTTGTTGTCGTTGGCATTTCAATCATATTTATCAAAACGAGTACAATGTAATTTCTGCGGTCGAAACATAAACCCACAATGCACACGATTGTCATAAATGTGTGTAGAGTGAATTTAGTTTCGGTTCCGCTCCACTCTATCTCAATCAATGTGGAGTTTATTCCATTGGTATTGGATGGTTTATTACATTTGCGTCGTTTTATTACAAATTGTTTGTATCCATCTCTCTATTATTGGTTTAACGTTCAATTCTAAATTGCATTCATTCGTTCATTCGTTCTTTCCCTCCGTTTCCCTCATTTCGATGTGAAAGCTACTACAGTTTAGCTTTTGTACAATAAAATGACAATGCGACATAGTTGTGGTGACGTTGTTTCAGATCGAGAATCAAAAACATGAAATTGTTCATCTTGTCGAGAATTTTGCATTTATTGTGTGTATGAAAAATGCCAATGTTTCGGTTCGGGTGTTTGGTGCTGGACCGAAAAATGAAATTGAGTTTTGTGCTCGTACGTAAGGGTTTTTTTTGGTTGTTGTTGTTGTTGAATGTATGCTTCGTTCGCCTCATCGTTTTATTTGATTCAATTGAATACAAGTATGTGTCTCGCTTTCGCTTTAAATACGCTCCTGACGATGCCCAGCAACGAGAATGCGAACATGAATTTGCCACTGTGTGTATTTGTATTAATTGTATTCATGGCATGTCTGTACCACATTCATTGAATTATTATCAAAAGAGATATTTTATTAAAACATCTGCAGCTGTAATTTAAATTACGATTTCATATTGTGTATAGTTGTTTTTTTTTCTGTGTTGCTCTTTGGCTTTGCATACACACACACACACAGTCTCGAAAGCGATAAAAAAGGGGGAAGTTATTGGATGCTTATTTCCTCTTTATTAAATCTCTATTTCAAAAAATTATATCTTTTAAATGACCGTTTTATAACTTTTTTCTTCCTCTTCTTTCCAAACTGTGTGTTCCACAATTTTCCGTTCGTTCATATCATTTTTTTCGGTTCATTCATTGATTGTGCGTGTGCGATACGAGGGAAAATTGGAATGGAGATAAAAAATTACAGTTGGCACATAAAAATAAAAGTTTTCACATTGTTTTCGCTTCGAATTGTATGTATTCGCCGCCGTTTTTTTTTTCTTCTTCTCTCATTTATCTTCAAATGGCACAAATTATTCTTTTATTATTTATACTATTACGATGCTCTCGAACTAAAGAAAAGTTTAATTATCATAAATTTGAATTTTTAGTGTTTCCGACAGTACAAAAATTAATGTATTTCTTTTTTTGTGCTATTTATCTCTGTTTCATATGCTCTGCTTTGAGCGCATCGCTATCGTCTCTGTTGAAGTTTGATAGGCGTTTCATGATCCAAAGACACAAGCAGAAAAAAACATCGAAGCAAACAACGGGAAAAAAGCCCAAAATATTGTGTGCCACTTTTATGACACTTTGTAGTAATTCTACGTGTTTGTGTGCTGTTGTGAGCACTTTTATATCTTTTATTTGGAATGTTTGACGTTGTTTCGCTTTTCTTTGTTGTTCGAAGGATTTTGTCACAGTGCAGCATTTGGACACATTTCGAAAGGTTTGCTGGAGAGTCAAATTGAAGAGCCGAAAAAAACGACAATAGAAATAACGACATCAATGACTCTAAGAGAGAGAGAGGGAGAGAAAGATTGAGAAAAAAAATTGAGGCGGAGAATTGAAAGTCAACACGCCGATAAGCACATTTGAATAAATTCAAATGCCCGTGCAAAGTGTAAAGACTAATATTAGAAGTGAAGTGTGCTTTAAAAAAATATCGAAATGCTTAGCAGAAACAGTTAATAACGTTGTTGACACACACACACACACACGCAAACACAACAGCAACCACATTTGAGCACGTTTTCGGTATTCTCAGCAATGGATCGTGGAATACAACATAAGAAGGACTCATTGACAATAGGAAATACACATTGAAATTACTATCCAAATACGTACAGAAAAAAAAAACATATTTATAATATGGTAAGTAGCAGTGGTCACATTGTGTACATCGCATCTCTTTAGCAAATGGACTCATATTTGGGCTGTGAAATATATATTTATCATTATTGCTGCTGAATCATACAGCAGCCACTCTTTCGAAGTGCGCACAACACTTCAGATGTATAATTCATATCGTTACCTTCGCTTGTGGGCCAAATTCACGTAATGGAATGTACCACTTTTTTGTGTGTATTTCGTTTGTATATCTCTCTAGAATAGTGCTTGGATGAATTTTGTTCCTGTACAAGTGCAACAGTGTCTTCAATTAGGTATTTTAACGATGACGACGCCTACACACAACATTTTGCGCGGACCAGCGCTCATACAACAATTTACATAAATTGTTGTGTTGTTGACTTAATAAAAAACATAGCTCACACTTCAAAATGCAATCATTTCCGTTTCGCGCTTGAAATTTGATACAGTAATGAACTAGAATTTATTCAAAACGAGCGATCACTTTAACTACGGAAAATACACTTTTTTTTAACAATTTGATTCTCCTTTGTTTACATGATGAAGTGAAAATCACTTGAAATCTCTTTCTGTTGACATAGCCACCAGATTTTTTGTTTTATTGTTTGTTAATTTTGAGCCTTGGTTTCGATGTTCACATACCGCAACATACACATTGCTATACAGTATAAAAATTGAATTGATTTCTTTTATTTGAATTGGTTTATCTGTCTCCAATATCGTAAGGCCCCGAATTGTAGTCGGTTCATTTACTCAATGGTTCATGTATGTAAATGGAAATAAATCAAAATCAATAGAAAATAAAGAGCACCTTTTTCTCCCATTGAAACAAATAAAACAAATTTTGAACAAAAAATATGCCCTTAAAACAGAGAGGAAAAAAAACGCCAGCACACATCCATTCCAAGTGTTTACGTTGATTTTTTAGAGAAAACGCTAAGTAAATATCAAGATCTAGTTTTTAGTATGTGTCTTTCAATCGTCACATAAAATCTCATTGATATTACCTAACTACATTCACCCAGTTTGCATGCGTAATCATGAGAAGAAAAACAAAGGCCACAAAATATCAACCAAAGTCAGACGGAGCACAGCAACAATAAGTGTCACAATTTGTAAATATTTACAAAGATTTTTCAAATCGATGATGATGAATTCAAGAAGAAAAAAAAACATACAAAAAAAAAATCATCGATGCCAATTTGAAAGGTTTTTTTTGTCACCGCAAGAAATTGTGAGTACTTTCTGGTGTTTTTAGCTCTTAAGACATTGTGACAGATGACAATGAATACTGGATACGTGTATGTGTGTTTACATTTCATTTGAGCAACAAGTATCTTCTGGTACGTTTGATTTGACAAACAAACGATCATTGTGTGGAATGGTCTGGAAATTACGAATCTTTTATCCTCAATTTTCGATCGCACGCAAATACATGCATGGATAATAGACAGAAAGGAATCCTTGCCCAAGAGAATAAAATGGAGAAAATCGATCGATTAAACTATTACAAATGTTGAACTAGTTTTGTAAATTAAGTATTACAATAAGGATATGTGAACGTTTCACTCTGATTTTTATTGTTCATTGATGTTTTGTCATTTTATTTAAAATAAAATTAAATATACCTGAAGTATTGACACAACAATTACCGAAAAAAAAGTATTTTTCATCGATATACTTGAAATGGCTCTTAAATATTTCAATTATTTTAGGCTCAACAATTTTAACTTTTACTCAATGTTGCATTAAATCATTCATGACTTTTCACTATCGGCGAAAATTCACATATGGGTCATGCCATACGACAGTGCATCATGTGGTGGTATTTTGTGTGGTCCATTGATGTCACCGCATCTTTCGGTAATATTTGTTTCAAAAAAAAAATAAGCGCCTTCTATAGTGACATCAATTCAACTTCAAATATAAACATTGGCTTTGATTTCATGTAAATAAAAAAATATATATATATGCGGCGACACAAACACAACCACCGATGTGTTTCATTCATTAGGGAATCAAAAACAAACAAAAAATCCAATGACATGTGTGATTTCACCCGAAGAAATATGGATCAGGTCATAACTTTTGGCATAATATTACACAAGAGAAGAAATACGAAAACATTCCCACGCATGAGATCGATTTAAAACTCGACAACAACAAAAAACTCGATGGCCTATGGCACTTCCCTCGACTAAATAAATAAACTAAAAATATGACATTACAATTTATACAACAGCTACTTTGAACGCAACAAAACCAAAGCAATCCAACAAAATTGAGATAATATGTGCATTCGCAGAAGACTCAATCAATTTGATTGAGAATACGTTTTATTCTTCGTCTTGTTCAAATTCATTCACAAAAGTATTCGATTTCAAATGTGAGAAGAACGCTGGTTCGATGAAAAACAAAGCGAAAGAAGAAATTGTAACGAATAAACAATCGAGTTGGTTGCAAGCTTGCAGTGGTGCAGTATCTGTAAAAAAAATAGCGTAGGTAGCTGAGATTCTGTTTGCGCGCCTACGACGACGATGCACCATAATGGATAGTGAACGTTTCATTTTTATATTCTTCCTTCTTCAAACTGCTTAAAATAACACAGACATGTTGTTGTTTGCTTTCATGCTCTCAAGTGGTTTTCAGGACAATTCAAATGTATCTAATTATATTGTAGCCGTTTCGCATGAGTGATTTTTTGCCTTTTTATTCCATTCTTTTTCTTCGTTTTTTTTTTAATGGATTTTCATGAGATTGATCAGGATACTTCTTTTGATTTTGTAATTTGATTTGTACTTTTCATATCTTGATTACATGAAATCCAATCGATTATCGTTTCATTCCATTTCAGTTCAGTAGCTCATTATGTTGTTATTTGCTTAAACCGATTCGATGCACATCTCCTTTCAATTGTGAACTCTCGTTTGCCCGTTTGTATCCGATTGCATTGAATTAATTGAGTGAAGCACTAGAAAAATGCTTTCATTTTCAATCAAACTGATACCCATTAAATTGACTCAACGAGAAGAAAATCTGGGGAGAACCGTATTTTGGGGAGAGATGCCGAACCAAATTTGACACGATTCATTTTGATGTTCTCCTTGTTTGCTGCCGGTGTGTGTTTTTCACCTATTTTGTTTTTTTAAACGGTAATTGTGAGGGAGAACGAAGATCAACAATTCGGTGAAGTATCTCTTCAAGTGGATGTATTTGATTCTATATGTTCAGAAGCCACAAATTCTATTCAACATAAAAAACCAACCATTTTTGCTCACCACAAAATTATCATCATTATCTCAAAACGTGTGCATACGAATATCAACTGTACAATCGTTCAATTTTAAGTGATTTGTTGTTCCTTCGATTTTGACCATCTCTATTCAGCTTAGTCCATAGATTTGCTTATTCCTACGATGGCACATGAAAAGGTACCACTTGCAGATTTATATTATTATTATTTTTTTCATGCAGCACAATCGTCTACAGACTTGAGGAAAAAAGGAACTGGCGAGTGGCTACGCAGAATAGAAATATATAATAATAAGAGGTTATTTTAACCAATTGCATCCTTGTAATAAAATGCGATGTAATGTTCAATGCTTTCAAGATAAAAAAAATGTGCGGTTCGAACGTCAAATAACATTCATTGTGTTCAAGACACTCGCATGCAAAAGCCAATAGGGGGAATGAGTTGTTTTCCTTTTTCTTAGGACATGGGTAATGGTGCTCTTTTTAATGCTGCGTGTATCAAAGTGTATCGTGTGAATAATATACTTATTCGCCCCAATAACAACATCAAACCATAATTTATTGGCATTAACGCACACGCCACACTCATCTCTCTCTCTCTCTCTCTCTCTCTCTCTCTCTCTCTCTCTCTCTCT